GGTTTTTACACATTTTCCGGAGTGAACACTAGTATTTGAATTTGATAACTAGTATGATTGTAGTAATAGGGTTAAATGCAAATTGTATTTTACTATACTATATCTTATATATTCTTACAGGTTTTATTATGTTTATTACATGTAATACACTTTACAATTGTAATTTTAATACTTAATATGATATATTAACAAAAGGTTACTATCCTAGCTCACACCATAGTAAAATATTAAAAAATCAATTGCTTCGGTTATAGACTTAATAATTGAAAAACATATTTTTGACTGCATATATACATATATAATAAATCCATCATAGTTATATTATTATAGTCTACTTTCTTTTGACATTTTAGTACTATCCGTCTATCCATGATATGTACTTTATTTAATTATAACTATAATAATAAGAACTTAATTTATTTATTAAACATTAAATCAGCACTCACAAACACTATAGTGTTTAAATACCTACACCATCAACTAAAACATTTGTAATGTTTTCCTTGGTACCTCACTACCAGGGGCGGACAGGCAGGGCGGGTAAGTGGCCATACCCACCCAGGCCCTCTAGAAATTTTATGTTTGGACCTCGAACTACATTTGTTATTTTTAATAATTTTTAAATTCCACACCGTAATCATTACCGCAAAAATGAAGAATACAATAATATAATAATTAACAATAGGTACTATTTACAAAAATTAAACAACTGGAAGCCGCGAAGGCTATGAAAGTTATTTTAGATTCATTTTTGGAATTTATTGTGTAACGAATATGTGTAATTTAATAATTTTTTAAAACAATAATAGTAATTAATAATTTTTTAAAACAATAATAGTAATTACTAATTAGTATTAAAAATAGTATTTAAATTAAAAACAATACATTTATTTTTGAATTTTATTTTATTTGTATTGAAAAAGATTTAAGATTTTAATATTGAAGTAACTTGTTTTTTTATTATGTTAAATTTAGTTGAGTAATAACTACAGAATTGTTTTAATTTTGTTATAAGTTCCTTAAAAAGTTATTTTATTTAAAATAAACATTGTAACATGAGTCTTTTGTTTGGTAGTTTTAAAACCTATACCCAACTGGACCTTACGTGCCTCAGATTACCCCTGCTTACAACATTATTATTCTTTTTAGTATTTTATATGAATATTGAAAATGCATACACAGTTATAGCAAAGGTTATATCTTTTTAATTAATTATACATTAGACCCAATAATGAATACAATTTAAACATTTTTTATTTTCAAAAACTCAATTTGAAAAATAACAATGTCTTCTTACATCCGCAGTAAGGTTGAATATGGAACCGTGCCTTATCTATAAAAAATCTTAATTGGCAAAGTGTGTTGAAGTGCAAAAAAAATAGCCACTGATTAATGATTATAATACATTAGTGTATACTACAGTGGCGTATCCAGGGGGGGGGTTTGGGGGTTGTAACCCCCCCCGAAAATTGTTAAATTATAACAACGTTATCATTAATAAATCATTTTAAGATAAAATTCCACAAAAATAAATTATAACCCCTCCCGAAAAAAAATTCTGGATACGCTACTGGTATACTATAAATACCTATATAAATTGAATGCTCTTATAAATAGGTAAATTCTGTTTAATAAATAGGTAGGTATGTACTTACCTCAAAGTAACTGATAACCTTTCTTCTACACTGATAGGCATTCTAAGTACAGTTATTTTCTTTGTAATACTTTCACGTATTCGGCCCAATAATTCGTCAAAAGTTTTTATTGTCATACGAAAATATTCGAAAAACTTTTCAGGATATTGCCGTATGTTTGAATAAAAATATTGAAATTGTGCTTCACGTTCTCGATTTAACGGATGCACCCAATATCGTCTGTTTATTGGAGACTTTTCTTCATTTAAAAAACCTTGTGCTTCCAATAAGCAAATGATTTTAATTTTCTTTTGTTTATTCATATTAATTTTTGTTTAAATTAGGTTTAATTTGTTTTTTGAAACAAGTACGTTAAAAGAAAAATAAACGATGAAGTACCTGCAAGAGCACAGCACAAAATATGACAAATTGAATTTAAATTTTAATTCGTCGTGCAAAATATGTTGTGTGGAATGTGGACATGTGGTACAACGCTATCAGTAACATAATTTTGGTGGGAAATGGGATTAATGTTTTGAAATATGGCGGGAAAACTTTACGTCAATAAAAACGGATTACAAAAACGGATGGTCTGGCCGCCAAACCACAATCCGGTAAAAATGCATCCGTTTACCAACGCGACAAACGGACCGGTGAAAACGGATAGTGTGGCCCGACCCTAATAATGGTCGCAATGCCAACCGTTCGTCGGCCGACCACTAAAGTGGGGAGTACGCTAAACTTGTAAATACATTTTTTTTTAGTCTTAGTCCCCACTTAAAAACTCAATAACGCCTCCTTACCATGCATACACGTAGAAATGGTATTTGATTCCATTCGTTATTCACAAAACTCAAATTTTTTATTTTCTTGCCGTTGTCGACATGTAATTATTTGTATAGTATATGCATCATAATTCGTAACTAATACTTCACCTGTTGAGAGGATGTGATGGGGTCACTTTTCGGGATGACTTACTGACTATGTGAATCAGACAAGATCTAAAAATAAAAGAAATATAGGCAAAGGGAATACAATAGTCACACAGTCTGCAGAGCGGTTATAAAGAACTTAATGAATTCAGTAACTTAAATCGAACAACATAATAGTAAATACTATACAACAACACAAATCAATGAGAAAATGGTTGGTCGCTAGTCTCTTTTTAATCTCAAAAATCAAATAAAAATAATGTTACTTACATGATCGAATAGTAATAATAAACGTTGAACAAAAGTTTTAGAGTATATAATATATATATTATATTATATTATTACTGATGTATATAATTAGATATGTACAATGAAAACAATTTTATACAACCAAAAAAAATGGCAGTCTAGGAATATATAATATTATTATGATTTATAATTTATATTACGTTATAAGACGCTGTACTAATTACAGAAGCTGATAAGAAACTAAAGTGTTTATATAATATAAAATTATATATAATATATATTGTTATATATATTTATGTATAATATATAATATAATATACACTAAATAATAACAATAGTATTTTTTCTTTTTTTCTTTTTTTACATAAATTGTATAGAGCAAACAAAGCTCGTATGATATGTAATTGTTTCAATCGTTATGGACAATATTATTAGATATAATATATGACCACACCGAATTATATTTATATCGAAGTTAACAATAATATTTTTAAGACATGGGAAATCATTATTATTAGTATGTCAGATTATCACAAAAAAATTTTTTTTTAATAATTTTGTATACATAAAATATTATATAAATTACTTCATTTATAGGATTATTATGTTCTAAAATGTATTACATTCGCTTCGGGTTACTGCAATAAAATATGTGGTTTTGCGAGGAAATTTCAACTTAACTCATTATACATTTTTACAATTAGACTAGATAAAAAAATCTTGATTAATTTTAAGAAACTATACACAAAACAAAAATTACATACATAAATAAAAAGAACAACAAAATATGTTGAAAATAAAAAGAAACAAAGAAACAGAATGTATTATCATACAACATATTATAATAATATAAGATTAAATAGAATATAGTTTACAATAGGATTTCTAAATACAATATATTATATATATATATTTTTTTTATACAAAAATAGTGTTATCGAAATTCATTAAAATTTAATATTTAAATTGTTATTATTATTTTTATTTATTACATAATAATATGTTGGTCAGTAAGACAGAATCAAAAATGTCGTACACCATTAATCGGTGTGGCAACAATTATTATTATGCCGACTATAATAATAAATTATTGTCCGGATTTCTTATGATTTTACTTGTTATAATTTATAAGTGTTTACAACTGTTCTTCACACTTCATAATATTATATAATATCTTGATAAAATAACGTGGTATGATGACAATTTAATGATACGCATACTCTTAATCCACCTCTTTTCATTAGTTGTCATTACTGGATACAAGTATAAACGCAAGACCCAACTATATGTCAGTTTGTTGCCATCATATCATGTTATTTTATCGTGATATTATAAATATTGTGTAGAAAATCGTATTTTAATTAATTTTTTTTCCTTATTACAGAGATCATAAAAAATTCTTTTATATAGTGATAATAAATGTTCCATCCGTGGTTTTGTGTAAATAATTTGTATATGAAGAAGTTGCATGGTCTCGTAATAAAAATCAAAAAACACGGACCATCTTTGTATAAGTAGTATTTATGAATAAAAATGTTATGTATAATGTATCACATCTTCGTGGTCTTTAAGAATACCTATATAATTATGTAAATAGGATCGGTAACGGAGTATTTTTTGAACCTGAGATAGTAATTATTTTCATTCCAACTCACTACGATCCGATAATTTTATTTAAAACTTCGATAGTGATTTAATCATGTTTATTCATAGGTATACTAGAATGTGAAAATTCGATAATATATTTAACAGTAGTTACATCATTATACATTTATACCTACTCTTAAAAAATAAATAAATAGTATGAAAGTCGTTTTCGAGTTTAAAAAACGAAGAATTTACATTCATCGGCGATATCTTTACATGCGTTACATTTAATTGATCTGTTTGTTGAGATTTGATATTGAATAATAGTTAATATTATACAAACATATTATTATTATTTTAAGTGTACTCGCAGAATAAAAATCCGGACTGCAATAATAATAATTATAATAACAATAATAATAATGATAATAATAATAATAATAATAATAAATAATGATTAAATGGTTTTAATAATAACAATGCGTATCGTAAACCTATTATGTCGTGTTCCCGAATCGGTGTGTACAGTCGATTAAGTTTGACAACTACTAGAAAACATAATCGACACTACTTTAAAGGCGCATTGTGTCTTTTATATTTATTTCGCAGACGAGCTGATTAACGGGCTTGTGGCGTACGGCTGTCCGTTGCAGTTAGGTAGAGCGAACGGATTCATTGCGAACGGAGATGTAACCAAAGTGCCCATTCCTGTAATAAAGTAAAATTATAGTAAATTAATGATAAAAAGCCACACGTTATGATGATGATCGACAACGAGCGTGATTTCAAACGAAAATTATATTATAATTATTATAGTGCAATTAATAAGCGAGCATAATATAATATCTACAATAAGAAGAATGACTAATGAGGATATAACGCGGTTTAATGTAAGTTAGTAAAGTCGTTTGTAAAAATAATTTTAAGAGGAAACTCTCGGTCTCTCGTAGTCCTCATATGAGTAAAGACACCAAATTTTCACACATTATAAGAAATAATATTTTCGGTGTCGTACGTTTTTATCTTTTTGTCAATATCATTAATATGAATAAAGTTATAATTGTTATGAAGATCTGTTATTTTTATGTTTTACGAACTTCATACAGTTTTTATATATAAGTATATTCGAAAAAATAAAAACGATATGATAAAGACCTAATTCTCCCCTATTATCCATGAGTTTGTTGTCTCCGTCTTATACAATCGTACTAAACTGAACCTACCAAATTGCTTAACAAAAATCAAATACTCGGATATATTACATTATAACGTGTGCACAAATAGATAATGTATACAAAAACTAAAATGCACATGATAATAAACTGGGAACATTCAAATTTCCCTCAAGACACAGGTACAGCGAATTAGACGATTCGGAAAAACCGAAATGTTGCCTATCAAAAATTATAAAATTAATTTAAGTGAAAACTATAGGTAGTGTTTTAAGCTTGATGTAAAACATGCAAAATGTTCAATGCACTACTCAATAAATCTATTAGCATCCTAAGCAGGGCTTGCATTTGAAAAAAAAATTCCGTCTTATGTTATTTACAATTAAAACGTTAAACAATTTTTGCGTTTATCGTTATTTAAAATTAAAAAGTTACACAATTTTTGAGTTTATCGTTCTTTAGAATTAAAACGTTAAACAAGTTTTGAGTTCGTCGTTATTTAAAATAGTGTTAATACCTATTCAATTTAAAAATAATAAATAATGAGGGTAGTTATTCCCGGATACTTATAAGTTATAATCAATTCTTAGACTGTTTGCATAAAATAAATGTTTTTACGAAACCAATAGAAATTTTAAATAAATAGATTTCAAAATATTTCGTTTTGTGTTATTTTTAATTCAATGATATTCCATAATTACGTTTTGCGTTATGTTTTGTTTAATGATATATAATATATTTTGTTAATCGTTATGTTTGGTTTTGCGGTATTTAATTATTTTTGATTATCACTTTCCGTTATAATTATGTTTACAAAGTTCATTCTTTTTTTGTCAAATATAACGTTATTATAATGCTTGCAAGCCCTGATCCTAAGTAAATTATATTATAGACATCTTTTCATATTACTTAAAATGTAAATATTATGCAATCAACAGATTCAAGTTAAATAAAATATAAAAAATAAATATGAACTTTACTGTATAGTATAATATTTTCTTGAATCGATTTTCTGTTGCAACATGCAGGATAGTATCTTAGCTTCATAACGTATATCTAAGGGCTAAGCATACTATTAAAATATGTAGACACATAGCGTAATGTTTGAAATGGACAATGGTATTTATATTAATATAATATTTGGTTTGTCTTGTTTTTGGATTCTGTGATGACCTCATAAACTACACATAATAAATATTATATCCACTAATATCAATCTGCACACTAAATATCTATATACCTAGGCTATATTATAATAATGTAATAAGTATTTTTCACACTATATTTGCTGTTAATCACGGAGACTCATTATTACTACTAAAATTACAATAACAATTAGTATAGTAATTAAGAAACATACCAAAGGGTGTTTGGATCGATTGCAAAATGAGCGATGGCAGTAATAATATTATGAAGGCAATACAGTATACATTTATAATCAGGGGAAAAAAGATGAAAATTAGTTTTTGAAAATCTGGTTATTGAAATCAAAACTAATTTTTTTTCAAACAAACATAATGAAAAGTTAACAACACTCTCAACACTTTTTTTCTCATAATATGTATAAAGTTAATATGCCAATATGGATAAGTAAAGTATAATAAAGAATAAACATACAGAAATAAATCCATACTGACTACACCAATTAGTGTTTGTAATAATTGGCAACCATAAAAAACCCAAACATTTCGAGGGGGGAAGGTGTATGAACACCCGAAACATCCCTCTGCGTACGTGCTTTTGACTATTAAGAGCAAATAAAATACGACTAGACACCTTGTTTTAAGAATTTGGGCCCAGATTATGCTTAATTATTAACTATAGTAAACTTAAATCTACCTCAAAAATCGTGTCATCCTACAAGGCTTTTTTTGTGTTACCTCTTGGCATTCAAGTGAAACACGCTGTATATAGAAACGTATAGCCCGCAAATAACTACTGACAAGCGTGCTGTTCTACTATCGTATAACATTGTCGTCGTTGCATTTATACTTACTCGAGGAAGAGTTGAATAGCGACGGGTGCGAGGTGGCCGTGGGCGAGTTCATGTTGGTCAGCTGAACAGACGATGCAGCCGACGTGGTGTTGGGCATGGTGGAACCGTTGTAACCGGAATTACCCCCGTTACCGTTGTTGGGACCGGAATTGGACGGGTTTCCGCCTCCTCCACCACCACCTCCACTTCCTCCACCTCCACCACCTCCGCCACCGCCTCCTCCACTGGTCGGAGGCGGATTTATGTACGTGCTTCCGTTCGTGCCGTTGGTCGAGTGCGGTGTCGATGCGCTGGACCCGTAACCACCGCCTCGGGGCGACACGCTGCTGCTCTGACCGCGTCCGTAATCGTCTGCGGATAAAGCAATGGGTTTTCGTATTAAAAAAAAGAAAAACACTTGGCCGGCTTATATAAGAATATTATAATAATATTAAATTGTTATATGTTTCAAAACAGTATCATAAATCATAATGCAGATTGTATCCCGTGTCTTAGCCAATATCATATTAATGTTATATTAGAATGGCGACTTTTCCACAAATTGGTAAACACGCCAGAACGTAATTTGAATATAATATTAGATACGTTCAATTATTTAATTATTAAGGCACGTCCAGACCTAGCGTGGTCTTATTATTTTATATTTGTTATTATTGAAATTCAATAAAAATGTTTTATACATTTAAGCATAACTTGTCTTCATGGTTTTTCTTCATAATATTATCATTACAAATACCTATGCGTCGAAGTCAATGTGAGAATAGATAACTCCAAGCACAGAGAACGAATAAAAAATAAAAAATATAATAATTCTAATCTAAGAACCTAATCCTATTCGGGGCAGTTTGAACTTTTAGGAGATATTTCCTCTCCATTTTCCATTGTTTACCCCCGAAATAAACACTCTGATCGCTGCCCACTGGTCGGAAGACACTATAGGACACCATGTTCGACTAGTTGAAATTATTGGAATGTGATACCTAACTAATAAGTAATAACTAATAACTAATAATATAATAATATGATCTCATTACAGCACTCACCGTCGTTCCATTGACCACTTGCACCGTGGTCGTGGACCGTCACCGCTAACTGTCCGGTGTACGGGTTGAACCCGGTGCCCACCGCCCCCGCCGTCGTCGACATGTTGTTGCCGTCCCTGTCCCGCGAGCAAGGTGACCTTGGCAGCGACAGTGACAGCTGATTGTTTCGGGGCATCGTATACAGTGCTTCCGCCAAATCCGCTGCCCGCTTCAGGATCACTTCCTGCGAAAATACCACATTATAACGTGTGTGATAATAGACATCGATTTATTCATACTGAGCACGTATTGTTGTCGTCATATTACAATATGCATATCGTGACCCTCTACTAGCGATGCGTTATGAGCCGCACTCGGTGGTTTTAATTTAATAACTGATTTTTTTAGAACATTAATATGTGGGATAATCGGTGTTGGTAAAACAGTATTAAATTGACGGTGATCACACGTCGACACGTATTTTAAAACTCCCATACACATAGTAGGTGGCCCTAACGCTTATTATATTATGCCGTTCTACATAGCAGAGCTGGTCGTGGTTGATCGTTTGAATTTTAACTTAAACGCATAAATGTTTTTAAAAAAATCATCAGCCTATCAATTTACAGTAGATATGGTGGTTTGAAGGAAATAAGTAAAAATCTATCTATTTGAAATTATGGAATTATACCTATACTTGAAAATTTCAAATATCAGCATATTTTGTGAAGGACAATAGTGATTTGCAATGGGGTGGAGTGAGCATGATTGTTGAATCCCTCTCTCCCTGGGAATAGTGTCGGTTTGCAATCGCTTACTTAAGGTACGCGGTATCCTTGTATAGAGTCAAATCAACCTAAGTCCGGACAGGTATAGTGACGCTAAACGCTAGGCGCTGCAGATAAAACTTACCTTAAGTATGCGACAACCTTGCATACCTATTAGCTGCGGCCTGCAGCAGTACATGAACGAATTTACTTTTTAGAATGATATCCATTTACTCGTTTCATATACCATAAAACCAATTTATTGATTGACAATTTTTAAAAATTCTCGTATAATTATTAAATACGGCGTACAATATTATACAATAATATAATGTCAAGTCTATCGCATAAACACCGTATAGAGGGCACGCAGAGGCTAAATTTCGATGTTTTGTTGACAATAATATAATACTGTCATAATATTTATAAATTTGAGTAAGTTTGATTTACCTTTGGTAGTTTTTCGGGATCTCCTGGATATCTGGGTACGAATTTTTGTAGTCTTTGGAAACCGTAATCGATTGTCGGTTCGCTGAGTGCTAAAATGATCAATATAATATTTTATATTATATAATATATTAACGGTATAAACTACTACGACCGAATTATACTATAAATTTATAACCAGAAATAACAGCAGCGATATTCCGAAACGTTTTTTTTTTTATTACGAAATACGCTGGTTATCGTCATAAATTTACAAAAATATTTACACTTACATATGTATGCGAATCTGCCGGGAGATCCTTTGCAAAACTGTTTGGATTTATACGACAACGTTACCTCCACGATGCCAGGTATGGGCCTGGGCGGTGTTTGCACTTGTATGGCGTGTGGAGTCAATAGCTGCAGGGAAACACAGTAATCGTATTAAACCTACGTGCTCGGAATACGCGAACACACGACAATATATATACATATATATATGTGTGTGTGTGTGTGTTTGTGTGTGTGTGTGTGTGTGTGTGTGTGTGTGTGTATCGAGTTTTCTGTTTATAATTACTTCGCTCCAAACTAGATTGCTGCCGAAAACCACTTGCAACCCGTCGAAAAAATTATCGCCCAATATAGTGACCGAAGCTCCGCCGTGGGTCCATCCTTCGCTCGGTGTAATGTGTTTTATACACGGTGTCGCCACGGGCAGAGGAGAAAACATGCCTAAGAGATAAAAAAAAAAAAAGGATGAACACAAAATCGAATTAAACCTTGAACGCTGTATATAACACAATATACTGTATACTATAATACAATATACTGTATACTATAATACGATATACTATATTATACTATATATGCAATACACTATATATCGTTAACGCGTAAAACGAGATTTTTATTTCGCCAAGATAATAATAAACATATTTAACATGCGCATAATATTATATAATATAAGTAAAAACGCGTTATACGCTCGCGACGAACAAAGTTTTGATACGTTTAAAAATATACTATGGACAACGAGCACAAAATAGGTGATATTCCAATCCTATTCTGTTCACCCTTGGGTAGCAAAACGGAATAATAAATTATAATATAAGGTATGTAAATTATTGAATTTTTGTTTTTTTAAATAAATTACATTGCAAATTACGTTTGGAGGATTGAAAATAAAATATTATATAATATAATATGTGTCATTGTATCCACATATTATATTATTACGCTGATTACTTGTAATTCCTCATTCGACATATACAATGACCGGTGTCCGGTTGAACAATTTTTTTTTAATTTTTAGCCATTAAATTCACGTCGATTCTCTAAAGTGGACTTTATTACGGATGTGATTCTTAAGCCAACCACTACCACGTGCATTAAGGACTCTCCAGTACAACACTAGGTACTCGTGATTTTATCCGATTTCTGAGAAACCCAATGTACTACAGCCTCGTGTCAAGTGAAATAATCGATCGAGTGTGGTGAGAAAAAACAACCTCTAATGACCGTAATTTTACACGACAACCCCACGACTATCGCGGGAAAACAAAAAATAAAAATAACAATCGATGGGATGGTTAAAAAAATACAAAAACGTCCTCAGACGGGACAAACCGTATAAATGCATATCTTAACATATTACATAATATTATATAAATATCTATTACATAAACTGTATTGTATCTTTTTTATAGTGTATTATTATGTTTTATTATTCGCTGTATCCCATCGACGTCGTAATATTTTTTTCTATACTTTTTTTCGTCGTATTTTTTATCTCTGGTATATATTATTATGGAGTGAATTGAAGTTACGCTTAGCTGTCGGGACCGAGAGAGATTTCTTTTGCCGGGAGCGGTTCAATTGCGACGCTGTATAAAATGGGTTTTATGCAGTGGACCGAATCAGGCGGTACCAATTCGGGACAAGAAAAAAGTTTTAGATCGCAAAACTCCGTAGAATGTCGCCCGGCATACACAAACAACTTCCACGTGTATTTTTCCCTTTATTTTATTTTCCTTCCCGTTTTATTTTTTTTTTCCGTCCTCTTACTTTAACAGGGGGAAATAAAAAACAAAACAAAACGTCAAAACTCGCGAATATCTGTTTAGTATTGCTTTGGCGTTTTGCTCGGCTTTTAACAATCACTAGATACCCTGCGATATTATAATATTACTATCGACGTTATAATAATAATATGTGCAACGTGCATATTGTGTGAAATTAAATCCGAGTCAACTAAATTAAATAATATTAGGTCGTGTTGGTATTATAAAGCCGTCAAATTGTCTGCGCTCAATATGCAATGTTATGCTGAACGATAAAAACAGAGGAAAAAATATATATACGTTCATGACAATAATATCCGTACATCCCTTAATAATATTATTATTATTATTATTAATATGCGTTGTCGTCCGCAGCGGGGAAATTCATGATGGTACTATGGTATTTATTACTATAAAGTGTATTATATAAAGTGACCTTTACCGAAACACTGATATTAGAATCGGTGGAAATTGCCCTTACGAAATATTCCGCTATAATTAAATTGTTTTTAATGCATGATAAAGTTTTATAATACGTCCATAGCCGTACGCTGTACACACACACTCGAATAATTGTATTCATCAAACCTATGTTAAATTAGATAGGTTATGAATATTATCATTAATATCCGATTCTAGGTGAAAATGAAATAAAATATGTAAGTACAGTGTTTTTTTTTCTTACCGTCATTTGGGTCTAAACGTTTTGCTCGGCGTCCGTGTTTTGAATTGTTGTGTACAAACATGTTATCCGATACGGCCAACAGGGGACCTTCAACCGTAACTTGTGTCGAAATGACCACCTGAAAATTAAAATTAAACATTTTACTCGGTTTCACACAATATAACTGCCGTGTTATTGTTATCCACAGACAACTTCTAAATATTATCACGTATAATATTGCAACATGGATTATAATTTACAAAAATTCAAATGTTAAAAACTATATTATATACTGAACTGTCTTTACTCTCTTAAAAGCGTGTGAATGTGTATGTCGTATGTGTACACTATTATATAGATGGTATAATATTATTGGTACACTATCGGGTACACAAAGCATGCAATTGCTTGCCATTTTTTTCGTTTATTAGTTTCTGATTTTCAAATATGGGTACTTAAAAGTTAAAAATATAATTTAAAATACTTAGGGTTAGGTTAGGTTAGGTTAGCTTTTTTAAAAATTAAAACTAGGTACACATTTTCTTGTAAATATTATTAATTGCATGAATATTTTGAGTGTGTTGATGGATCTATTTTTTCAAATTTTGATTTATAAAAAAAAAGATCCATCAATCAATCATTTTTAGTTATTACTATTAGGACATTAATAAGTATAAAATGTCCTTGCCAATATATTGGAAGATATGATTTGAAAATATTGGTACCTAATTAATATTGATACATCAACATTTATCATATAATATAAAATATAAACCCGGGTCCACACAGAAACAATTAAATTAAAACAACAATGTTTATGTTTTTAAAAACAATTTAGACAGTTACCTTAGTCCCATCTGTGATGGGAAAGTTGCGATTTTGTTTATTATCTTACTACCTTTGTTCATCACTACTACCTCTACGTCTATTTTATGTTTTTTATAATACCTATACTAAGTATTTTTAGGGTATATTATCCTTAGTAGGTAAATTGTATATATATTTTAATAACTCAGAAACTACTTAATAGAATTTTGATTCAAAACTCAAGTACATAAAAATGTACAAATAAATTATTTGCTTAACAACTTACAGTAGAAAAGGTTGATTCTTGTTAAAAAAAAAAATAAGTATAATGTTTATGTATTGCCACAGAACACACTTTAAAAGGTATACAAATCTAAATAATTGTAATAATGGTACTTTAGCATAATAGGTACTTAAAAATCAAAATTTGAATAAATTCATTATTAAACGAAAAACAGGGGCGAGCATGCAAGGCGGATCACTAGAAGTACATTTAAGTAGGTCGTGGGTGTACTCGAGTGGAGTAATGGATGGTGGAGAAAAACATAATATGTTTACAATCTAAATACGAGTTAATTTCCGTAAACATTTATGCGTCGTATCTTTCAGTCGTGTACGTTATGACTTATGGCTGAATTGGTTAAAGGTACATAATATTATTATTATTATATCATTATATTGTATAACTCATGAGCGATCGGCTATTATGGTAAACACTAAACAAACAAGGTGAATTAATATAATATCTGCATTGTAGTTATGTGTATACAATATTACAATATACATATTATATATTATATTGTGTATTGATTAATGTTTGGCTGTTTGGCGCGTATAATATAATATTATAAAGAATGGTAGGTAATAATTCACAGCGTTATAGCGGTTACTATGCACACACGTTAGATATTACGCGAGAGATAAGTTCCACTCGTTATTTCAAATGTATGGCTGGGAAGGGTTAACATGCATGACAAGGGTTTATGAATCGGATCTAGTAATTTCGTACCATAATATTGTGTTCGTAGATACCACGTTAAAATAATATTATTATACAATGTGAGCCGCAGAGTTTTTTTATAATATATAAAACTGAAACACACGAAAGCAGGAAAACGCTGTTGCCCATTCCGTATATATATAGATTATAGGTTCAAGGTTGTAGCCTGTTGTAGGTACATCGTATTCATATTTAATGCAATAAATACAGAATATATCCGGTACACGAGGTATTAAAGTTACATAATAATATGAAATTGAAAAAAATTCCCTTATTTCACAAATACGAATAATAGGTATTATTATTATTACTTTGCAATACTCGAAGTAGGTAATTATTATATTGCTATCTACGATGTGTAGACGGATAAGTGATAACGAATGCCAGACCGTTGAAAATTATATGATTGACCCAAAAGGCCATAAATTGTTCATAGCTTTTTGATATAAGATTATTTACTAGAATTTATAATGAAGAACATATTTTGACAGCCTTATACGTACAATTTTGTATTCCTTACGAGATCTTCGAGTTTTGACACCACGTTGTTGTGAGTACGATTTCGTATTAATTTAATAAGGTAACTAAAAAAAGTAGATGGATAGTTTCAGAATTAAAATAATAATAATAATGGTATAATATTATCTATTTCCGTTCGATACAACTCGATGCCATATTATTATGAAAATGAAACATTATAAGTTATCAACACGTATTTTGAGAACCCATAGTGTTATAGGCTTACAATTATATTAAGTGGTCTTATTTTGAACTTTTTGTAGAGTAACATTTTATGATAAGCAAAAGAAAATTATAATTATTATGACAGAAAATCACCAATTCCGATATCCTTCAAATTTCCATCCATATTTTTAAATTGTACTGCTTTATATTTTAACCTAATCGCACGCTTTGTAAAATGAAAAATTTTAAAAACCCTAATCTTGCAACCAGTGATTCCCCCGCTGTAGGTAGTTACCTACCCAATGTGCGTCCAAGCGCGACTATATAATATATATGGTCGGCTTAGTATATTATAATATACATACCTACGTATTATACTTTAAGACGGAGCGACTATAAAAATATTATTATAAAAACCCCTTGCTTGCAGTTAACATCTTACTGGTCGTATATTATAAATTATACATCGAGGTCGACCGATGCGAATATTATCCGACGTCGTCGTCGTCGCCGCCGCCGCCGCATCGAGCGCATTCGGCGTCGGTCGTGTAGTCAATTATTAAATCTCGAGCGTCGATTTTCTCGCGGAAAGTTTTTCATTATTAAAGAGGTGAGCGCACGCGCTTACGCGTGTGTGTGTGTGTGTGTGTGTGTGTGTGTGGGGGGGGAGTATATATATACGTTGCTCGCGTGGTGTAAATTAGATTGGCCGACGAAAGTTTTCGCGCGCGCTTCGTCGAAATAATAAGAATTTTCCGCGCGGTGGCAGCCCACACACCAAAATACACACACACACACACACATATTATATATACATTATACATACGTACTTACTTACTTATACTTATACTCGTATATATATATATGTATACTGTTCACGCCGCCGGCCTTTGCAGCGCATTGCACAAACACAAGCGGGCGACGCGGTGCACTTTCGGCACACATATATATATACATATTATACGACTGTGGTGGGTGCAGACTGCCGGGGGAAGGTGTACACACACGCACACACAAACGAGCGCACCGCCACCCATTTTGTGGCGACGATAGGGTAAAATCGACTCCACCTCTCGGGGGTTTTGAATTCCGCCTCCGGGGAATACGCCGCCGCCGCGCCCGTACGACGACGATCGTGTGCGAGCTCGCGAGCGTCCTTGACGTCGTCGTCGTTGTCGTTTTTTCGCAACCCCCACCGTCGCATCCCTTAACACCGCCGGCCACGACTGCCGCACCTACGCCGCAGCGCCCGATGTCCCCCGGGGCGGCCGTTCCCATGGGAACACGCGCGGCGGTATGACGGAGGTGAGGGGTTGGTTTTGAATCGCTAAAGAACATAGCGCCAAGTGCCCTTCGCCGCCGTTTCCGGGGTGGATATCGAGGCGGTGGATTGGTGGGGCGAAGCAGGGGTGTTGTACGTATATATATATATATATATATATACATATACTGTCTATATATATACATATTATTATGTACCCTGCACGCAAGTCGGGTCAATTCTCTGAGCGTTTCGACTTTTGCCTCCGCGGATCGCCCGCGCCACTTTAATATTATATATACAAGCAAAGTACGTCTAGCTGAGCGCCTGTATATGAACAAGAAGTGTCGTATATACCTACTAGCTATATAATGTTATTTTTATCATTATCGTATTTCGTTATTGTTACATATAGGTACCTATATTATATACTTATACCTAGGTAATCCTACGCTCCTCCTATGGAATAAACATACATTTCCGTAAGGGGAGGGGGTATGATATCTATAAATTTCATCAGGTTATCTAAAAAATGTAATATATCGTTTTAACACCCTTAATTAGTAAATTATGTTCGGTGTTTATGCGTTGTTGGTGTTGGTTTAGGTCAAATTATATTTATTTTTTTTTTCAAAATGAGTAATTTAGGTGAATTATGTAAAATTATTTTTAACGATGAAACTTGTGTTAAGTTTTTAAAAGCTCGTTATTTCAAAATGTAAATGTTTGTACAAAATCAAATGGTGCGGACGAGGAGAAGGCTTGAGGTAGCGCCGTAGCGGTATGAAGGAAACTTTTAAAAAATGGTCAAATACGATATTAATTAACCGGTCAATTTAATCAAACTAAATACTTTCATCTTTTGGTGCTAATAACGGACCCTTCAAACACGGTGCGTAAATATCCTAAGACATAAGCAGTTATTTTTTTTAGTCATATATTTTTATAAAAACACATTTTCTGGTTTTTTTTATATTTAGTGACAACAATTCAAGCCTGGGTTTAGTAGACACCCAATCCCTTGCTTCTCTGACAATAGGTATACTATTGTTTTCATAGCTTTCGGTTATTATTTTAAAAGCTAAACAAAGTCTTTTTTTTCATCGAAATTTTTCAGAGATATCTCTTATATAATTATGTTATAATAATATTACGTTAACAGCACCCAGTTGTATAATGTGTACCATTGTCGCAATTATTAACGATTGTATTATTATTTCCATATCATCATTATTATTACACATTTTATACCATTGATGTGCACGACTGTTATTAGACAGTTTATTAGCTGTTGTTTCAATAACAGTTTTTACGGTTCAAATCGGATTAACGTCATCGTGTTTACGATGTTCCTTATTTTATCGCCTGTACTGGCTACAATAACAGTGCCATAATAATCATAATATGCATCATTTAACTACATGCAACTTAAGTCGTGATGAAACGAATTTGTCAACAGTGAGGTATAGAGTGACAACTTACTTATGCGCGAGTGAGCGACTATATAATAATTAATTTTGTTATATTATTGTTATACACAACTGCATTGTCGCCGCGACGAGGTTTATACCACCACGTAATAATACACTATTATGTATTATTATTACTATATAACTTATATCTATGCCTACGTCAACAAATACCTACTGTACATCGTATTATTCTTTAGTTTCGGATTTTGTGGTGTGGTGATGGGGGAGGGGGGCCCCGATGAGCGGGGATCTTCGAAAGTTTTCCGTTATTGTTGTTCCTTTGTTATTTTTTTTTGGCATTTTCGTCTAAATATATTTTTACACGTCTCAAATTATCTACGCACGCGCACGTCGCGGACTTTCGCGAATCGATTTATTTAACCTCGTTAAATCGTGTACGCATTATTATTATTATTTTACGAGATATACATAATATAATGATCATACATAACCTATGCGTGTACTTGTTACGTGCGGCGAGAAAAAACATTATAGGTATCGTAAAAAGTCAAAAAGAGCTGTATAGTACCCGTGTGTTACGACATCGGTTGTACGAGTGGGGCCGAGTGTTATAATAATGTCAAGTTTTTTGTTGTTTTTTTTCCAGTTTTTGATTGGAATGTTATCGTATTATATCGACAACGGCACGATAATAACACGGTAACCATCGTCGTTAAACGTGATAAACGCGCCTACTAAAATACCTGCCGGACGACGGTAATAATTATTTATCGGCAAGGCGAATGTTGAACAAATTTTTTTTTGCGTTTTTAATTCTTTTAATTCTCAAGGTTTTTACTTCCGGTTTTGTTTTTTATCATTTTGTTTTACTCCGAACAATAATAATAATATGCTGAATTTTATTTTTTCTCCCGTCTTCTTAATGTAAAACCGTTGTATATTTTTGTTTCTGTACAGTTATGTGAGTTAATGTTGTTAAAACTTTTATCAGTCGCGCGCGTGGCATGCTCCGAAAACTGCCGTGGATAGTCTTGACATGAATTCCGGCTGTTTTGAGTAATTTTTACACCGAAAGCTTTAAAAAAATAATTAATACGAGAAAGGTTTTCTCTCTCATTCTCTCCCTCAATCCTCTGAGCATCCCTCTCTTATCCCCCTTTCATTTGTTTTTTATTTTTTACTTTCCTGTTTACCGTTTCGGATGGGTCTGCATCAATTATGAATCGTAATGGCGTTTTATATTCTTGCAATCGTCAGATGAAAGAAACTTTTTTATTATTATTTAAAGCGTGAAATGCAATAAAATATTTATACGAAAAAAAATCGACAGAGACGAGCGTGTTAGGTAACAAAAAAAAAAAAAAAACACGAACTTTTCACATGCATTAATTAAACAAATGCCTTTTACCTGTGATGACCATTCTCTCGCTTCGAGAGGAGTATTATATACTACACACCTTTTCATTATTATTTTATGAATAATGGTTGTGAATATTAGCTATATAGTAATTAATACGTTCCTTGGTTTGCGAAATAATGACTTACATATTATTATATAATACAGATATATTTATGGCGTACTGAAAACGTCAGCGAAGATCGTTTAATTTTTCTTGTTTACGATGTTAACCCACAATAATCGGAGTACATAATGTTATTAAAATTACATTTCGTGTTTGAACGAAGCGTATAGGACACGCACGACAAACCCACCACCGCCGGTGTATATCATTTTATGTTTGTGAGCACATATACATATTATAATACTGGAAAACCCTTTTACGTTAATGACTTGAATGAAAAAAATACCCCCTCGGTTTTTTTTTTCGAACCGGGGAAACGAAAGACCTTGTTCGGTTTATATGCACACACACACTCGCACACTTTTACTTCTAATATTGTTTAACACAATAATATAGCGTATATTATTATACCCACTCTAAAGTCTAAACATAATATAAAAATAAAGGTAACTACTTACTTGAAACCTTCGCATGTCCCTGGGATTGCCAGCGTTTTTCAAACAATTTTGATTGCATTTCAGGAAAAACTTCAAGAAAAATCTATAAAACAAAAAAAGTGTCATTTCGAATTAGTCGATGATTAGTCTAAAGTCATAACTTACAAGCAAAAACAAATGTCAGTATATAATATTATTGTTACTATGGGTAGGAATCCAAACAAAATGTAACATTATTGTGAGCGTTATCGTGGACCTTACCGCGGTAAACACAAGACCCCAAAAACAATATTTTTCGATACATTTTCGAGTCGTAACTGCGGGCGTTCGTCTTAAGGTCACTGTATTAACAATTATTATTAACGTTCTCCTATTTATTTACGGTACATATTATTATATTTACAGTGGAACAAAACCGTCGAGTTTGCGATGGTTAAGTATATATATATATATATATATATAGAGGCGAAACGACGTTAAGTGTACACACTTATCCTTCGTGAATTCCGTCGCAAAATATAGTTTATTTATGGTACCGACTACATATATATATGATTATATACCGAGGTAATAGTATCGCGTTGTGATATTACTATATGAAGAGTGCGCGTTTCTTGTATACCTGTAATAACATTTTGACGTTTAATAAACACCGACTGTGCACACGGCGTATAACCCGATTATTATTTTACGGTTTTTCCGAATCTTTCACAATTCTATTATACAGTGTGTGTACCTTAATAATACGTTCACCGATTTCCACTCCAAGATCGGCGTATAGGCACACTACGACGTGTACATAACGTTATTATCATAATAAAAACGTAACTCCACACCGATCGACGGAATAGCGGAAAGAATTACGGACAAGAGCCCTCGGGTGGGAGGGGGGCGCCCCCTGACGGAAAATTGCATTATTCAATTTGCCGTCGGGGTAATATGAACGTATATACTGCGTAATAGAGTTACAATAATAATATTATATATATTGGTTATAGTATTATAATGTTATAATAATATAGTCTGCGCATAATGATTGATGCACATTGCCAATCGGTCGGCCCTCCCGCCTACCCGCCTGCCACTTGGCATCACCGTCATCGCGGCACCGACCCGGTTACTGTTTTATTATAATATGGTCGACTATCACGCACACGGGGTTAGGTTAGCCTGATAAAATATATATATATAATCTTTGGCACGACCCACCGAACCCGCCGGCAGCGGCGTCGCAAAATACCGACGTAAACGACGAACCGTCTCCGCCGGAGCGATTCCCCGAGGAGTTTTCCGGTCTGTCCGACGCACCACGCCGCCGCCGCGATATCGTGGTTTGTAATGTTTCGTTTCTTTTTGCCGACGATTACCTATATAATAATAATATATTATCATATTATATTATTGCTATATGCCCGTGGAGTCGAAGTTCGCTAATAAAAACTTGGCCTTATGCATGAGACCGTCATGAAACGATCGTTTTCGTGCAGTGACGGGATTTTGGGCGAAAAAAACAATATACAACTAGCGCTGCAACCATCAAAGCACAACAATAATTATTCGAAATTTCGAAATACCATTATATCTGCTCCCCTTCGTCCCCCCGTGGTCTAAGTCTTCTAAACCGCTTTGTTATAATATTATGTCATACGTGATACGTACCTATTATCTGGATTTTAATTAAATTTATTTAACTGCATAATACTGTATTAATGTATTATTTATATTATGTTTATCTCCTATTATATATTACAATAATCATATATATAATCTATTTTTATACCTATGTATATTGTATAATATATAAAGAGGTACAACTTGTTGATAAATATGTAGATGCTAATATCTGTGAACTGTTGAACCGATTAAAAAATTATTTCACTAATATTAAATCTCGATATTCGACCACTAAATATTGGCTCATACGTGAATTTTGTTTCGGTTAACGAAAATTGAATACGATGTTTTTGTTTGCATAATACAATTGGTTAAAAAATAAAAACGACTTTTATACAATCTATATTGTAGCCAATATAATATATTATATACTCAAAAAGATTTTGACTAAAATGTCTGCAAAAGATTGTATTCTTACTTCTTAGAGGTATCAGGGGATTTAAGATTTAAGTACGTTAGAAAATATATCAAGTGCCGTAATAATTGCTATGTCCATTCTACCACGGCCGGATTACCTATGTCTGTGGTATTGGCTCACAAAGCGATTTTCCCGTGAACTGACGTATATACCGAGATACACCACAGCGTATATCGCCGTGTTTAATGTGTGTTAATTATTGTCCAGCGTGCTTGAGCCATGTTCTTATACAGCTATAGTATTTAATAATATTATGTATTTTCGGAAGCCCGATGCAGTTTTTTTTTTTTTTATCACTCCTCCGACGCCGCTTCATATACCTCTGATGAGATACAGTCGTGACGATAACGAACTCAATGCTATATTATACAGCTTTTGAGCAAACAAACCAGAAACGCGATCAGTATTGTGTGATAGTGGCGTTTGAAAATGTTTTTCCGAGCTATATTATACATACAATATGTGCGGTGGGCCCGACGAGGGATTAACGTTTCGACCGGCGGCGTATGTGTCGTGATGTGTTTTATAGCCGACAATCGGTCTCGAGATCAGTACACACAGAACGCGTGCACGAGGCCATGTGCCGGATAAATCGATTTCCAACTGATATTGATCTTTAATAATAATGATGACTATGATAATAATAATAGTATTCGAATATATGTTTATATAGTTTATACGACCGGCAACGTGCGGAGGCAGTAACCCGGTCGGTTTGAATACTGCAGCAAGTCGTCGTCGTTGCGTGTTTGAACTTTTCAAGTACTGGCCAAACGGCTCCTATTATTATTATTATTGATATTATAATATGTATTATGTATGCAGACGATTCCAAAGTAGTTTAACGTTATTATACCGTATACGACCTGTAGAGAAATAAGAATCAGAATAAGTAGTCGGGGTAGTTGCAAATTCTATCTATCTTCTTAAAAATAAAACACCAAATAGACAAAACATAATATACCTATTTATTCGTTAACGCATTAATTATTATACACATTGAACGCATGACAGCGTTTTTTTTTTTTGTACGAGGCTTTGGTATAAATTCAGTGTGGCGGCGGGAGGGGGGTGCTAAAAAATTCTACTGCGGGCTAAGGCTCCCCCGTCCTCCAGTTTCACCAATGCGGACGGAGCTGTAGCAATGTTTCGACGACGTGTGAAAGTGAAATGTGCGGCCGAATCGATTAAAAGGATTCCGCCGGGTCGACAATATTATATTGGTCCCGCGAGACGAGTGAGTTCCGTATATACGGAATACGATCTTTCCCCCCCCCCTGTCCACTGCACATTGTTGCTCGTCCGCATAACGATAACGTGTACCATCATCGACTTTTGGGTGAACTATACTCTCGCAACACGAGATGAGAAAGATAAAGAAGAAAAATAAAGTCGATAACCACGGTATATTATATTATAGGTACTCGGGTTCCGAGCTAATTCTGAGTGTTAAAAATCTATTCATCGGTGATTATAATATCCTACACACAAGTTAAATGTTTTTCATGTTATTCATATCAACTCGTGTTTAGTATATAATATATTATGTTATAGTATATAATATAATAATATAATATGCACCTATTGCACCTATAGTGCGGGCATGCACACAGTGGCGAAATTAAAGAGAAAAGGGGACACGGTATAGAAAGGGGTACGACTGACGTGCGCGCGGAGAGAAGAATGAAATAATTGCATTTATCTGCCCATGAAAAGCACACACACTCACACAAACTTGCGTATACCGCCACGGCACTGGAGCGGGATGGAGAGATGGTCGGGAGCGGTATACCGCGTATACCTAATGTTTCTGCATTAGCCCGAGAAGTCGATGACTACACACCGTCGGCGATTCCTCCCCGGGGATAGTTCAGCGACAGTCGTTCTCGTTACCCCGCAACAGTTTATCTTCGATCCTTAAGGTTTCTCTCTTCCATTGTATATATATATAGGTATAGGTATACTGCTGCTGTTACCGCGGACGTTCGTTCACTCCCCTCGCCGTCTCACCACCCCTCGACAGTTTCTTACGTATCTTTCTCACTCCATCTCTCTATATCTCCCCGTCTCACTCGTACACGTTTACCTGCACAACCGAGTTCTTACCCCTTTGTATGTATATACGCTTGCATGTACACAACAACGACCCCCGAGCAATAAAAGTCTCTCCCGCTTGCACCGGCCGTCGGCCGTTTGGACCGCGGTACAATCTCGCTAAAGGTTTTTTCGCCGTAATTAAATAGATCGTTCGCGGCTGTAAAATAAATGTGCGACCGTTTCTCGACTACCCGTAATGTTTCTATATGATACGTGACGACTATATTGCGCGGCGCCGCGGTGTAATCCGGATCGAAAAAGCGTCTCCCCCCCTCTGTCCTCGCACCAGCTGCGGCCGGAATACAACGGCAAACGTACAGCGTTTTATATATTATATCTGTACACGAGCGTTTTCCAAACGTTTTCCCAACGGCCTCGAATCGTCGTCGAACGCGGAAAATTCCCGAGCATTTAAATTCACGACTTCCGAGATTAAAAACATTTATAACGCGTCGGCGGCGTGTGTACCGTGTAAATTTGTTTTTCTTCTTTCAGTTCTATATTTTAATAAATACAAAAATTATGTTTTACAGCTGCGAATATGTATATCATAAAATTACAAAGTTCTCCGTTAATCCGACAAATAAGTTACGGACGACGACGACGACAACGGCGCGAAGTTGCAGCTGCGGTTAACCGTATAATATAGGTACTGTATATTCTCTGTCTGGAAGTATATAGCAAGTAAGTAAGTTGCTGTCTGTACAGCTGCGATATGTACACTGTACCTGCGACGTGTATACTAATATCGTTTGTATAGACGCGCAGATATGGTATAATATTTTAATACATAATGTACGGTTTTGATGCAATTAGAAAAAACGACGGAATGTTTTCTGTAAATTACACGGCATGGCTTATTATAGTAGTAATACTGTAATATTTCATTTCTCCAAAATCGTGGTGTACGCTCATATATATACACACACACACCGCA